AGTATATAGTCAGTGAGTCAAACAGCTCTCTCTCTCTCTCTCTCTCTCTCTCTCTCTCTCTCTCTGAAATGTGAATGAAACATGTATGCAATGATATACATGTAATATCACATATAAAATATATTGTCGCATAAAAACACACATAATTTAATTGCTTGTGTAAAGTCCCCGACCGGGGCTTCCCATAAGAAATTCCTGGTGATTCAGACCTACTCTGCTATCGCTATACCTTTCTTAAGCGCCTGTAGTTATGAAGTAATTGTATTTTCATTAGCAGTCCAACAGTATATCAAAAACAGAAATACAATTATTTATACCTATTTTTAGTATACATTTTCGCGTAAATAGATTTTTTCATTGAGAAATAGTTATGCAAAACAACTCGTCATTCAATTATTATCTTTGTGTTTGAAAACAATATACAAATGAATAGTTAATTAATTTTTATTTATTTTGCGAAAAGGATTTTTTGTTTTCATATTTATTAGTGTTTTTAAAAATGTTTTTCTATCACAAGTTACATAAATTTATAGAAATCTTATTGTATATAAAAAGAGTGCAAAAAAGTATTTAAAGAATTTATTTATTAAATTTTAACTTGTGATATAATTATTAAAAATAAATTTATTAATAATTATCCATTTGTTTTGATGGATATAACGTATAACTTGAATACTAAATAAAGTTTTATTTACCGAAAAGTTTACAAACTTTATTTTAAAAATAAATATAAGTTTTTGTATAACAAAGTGAGATAACCTTTACCTCAATTCACAAATTCAATATACATTTTGCCAATCAATCAATTAAATGACTTTAATATTTGACTTTTTCTATGATAAGTGAATGTTGTTTCAGTGAACACTTAAATCCATAGCCAAAAGCAAATCGGATTGAAATGAGAGATAAAAATGATTATTAATATATTGCGGCGAAAAAAGGAGATTTAGTTCATGACTACAAAGTGTTACATAAATGTAAACTGAATGTATATTTAATTTTTTTCAAGTATTGCTGTGTATGTGATATCAATAAAACTAGTGATGATATTAGTCGTGTGCACCAGTACTACAATGTTTAAGAAAACGTTAACACTATTCGCCGGATTGATACACTGTCTGCTCCCTTCCCTACATACACTTCCCTCTAATAGTATTGTCAATGATGTGCAGGTAATATAATGTTACAAACATTATAATTATTATTTTTGATAATTTGTTTATTTAAAAAAATTTATTTGTTATTTTAAACTAGTTTATATATAAAAATAAAAATTATTTAAATATCTAAATAAATAAGAATTTAGTTTTAACTTGCTAGGAATAAATGTTGTGGTGAAAAATATTTTATTATACTTTTATTTTATGTAAACTTTATAAATTACTTATTCTACTTTTAGAAGTTTAAAATTATTACTTAATTAAAATTACTAATTAGCTAATTATAAATAATACTTTTAAAAAAGTTATTATACATAAATCTTATTTTTTATTAAGCATATAAATAATTCCTATTTACGATTTATAATTAGTAAATCAACACTAAAACTAAAAACATTAATTAAAATCTAAATATACATCCCTTTCCACAATAGACAATACCAAAAGGCAATTGTCAGGTGAACTGTACGGCCGACTACTTCGACGAGGGGAAGGACTGTCACGACTCGCGCGGTCAATGCAATTGCATAGCGCACTGTTGCCTGGCGTTTGACTGCCGAAACTGGGGGAACCTCGTCCAGTGTCGGCGCAAATGTAATGTCGTGCCCAACAAATTTGGCAAACAGTCCCACCAAATGAATTGCGAGCAATACCTGTGCGACAAAGCCTATTACGACCCGAGTTGGGACGCCCGGGGCACCGATGATCGGCAACGCAATTGTGTGGAGCACTGTTGCTATGCCTTTGACTGTCGCAAGGCGTCGGGATATTGTCGCCAGACGTGCGGTGTGGACGTGTGGGTCACCCATAGGCCCGGATAACTATTACCGATGTTATAAAGTCACCGAAAATTGTTATCTTTCGTATGTTTTGTGCTTTTGAAACGAGTTTTAAATACTTTTTTCGATACATAAGAGAAAACTTTAAGAAAGTTTGAAAACAGGGAATACTTTGTTGTTTTTGATGTGAAATAGTGTCATAAAAATTATGTCATCAGTGACAAAAACAAATTATATATCCTTTAGATATATACTAGATTTAGGAGCGTTTACGTCACATTTCTTAAGCCTTTTTGTATATTAATACGATAACTCTTTTGGTATTAATTGCCTTTTTTTGTATATTTTTTCCTATCATTAATTACATGTAAATAGTCTTTTGGAGTGAGAAATGTGTTAATATAAATAAATTACACTCACTTTTATGGAGATTGCCTTAACTCTTGATTTTTATTTCACATATAAGATAAATAAAATTGATTTTATAAACGTTTTATAAAAAACACTGTATGTTTTCATTTTATTATTGACTATATAAAATAATATTCAAAAACAGTTATTAATATTACAATTTAATAATTTAATTATCATTTTTACAAATAAGTTAACATAAGTTATAGTTTTATATACAGTAATACTGTACAGTGTATACATATTTTTAATTATCTAGGCTAATTATCTCGTTAATCCAATCAATATAATAAGAAACTCTAGTATACAGACCTGGATAACCAGGCCGTCCACATCCATTTCCTGTTGAAACTATGCCCACGACAGTAGCCCTTCCCGTACGATCTTTCTGGATCAATGGACCTCCAGAATCACCCTATGTTTACAATATTAAGTACAAAACAATTTAAAAGTTATAAAATATAGCATGGTATTGGGTATTGTAGATTTAAGTGCACAATAAATACCTGACACGAGTCCTTGCCCTCAGCCCCGGCGCATAACTCCAGTTCCGGTGAAAAGCCTCTGCCGTACATCTGTTTGCACTGTCTTTGAGGTCAAGTATAAAAAATTGTTTTTAGGTTTATCGATATTTTTGATTTCAAGTGGATTATAAAACATTCAATCATTGAGTCTAGTTTTATAAAAAGTTTACGCTTTGGTTACTTTTAGTACACTCTAAGAGTTAATGATAAGTTATGGTTAGCTCCCAATCAATCAATGCATTTGAAAATCTTTAGTACAAAACAATTAAAAAATTCTTTCTAAATATAACTTTGAGTGCATTTGTACCTTAAGTCTGATTACAATTTTTGATTTGCATTCATTAACTCCTAATATTATTACAGTGTGTTTACGTAAATATGAGACATGTAATTTATTTTAATTATAAAATACATACTTGTTTGACACAAAGGGTAACTCAACGGCCCTCAGACTGTATGAGTCGTCGCCTTCCTCTTGTGTAGCCCCCCATCCGGTGGTGATTAGCCTTTTGTTGATTACTATATTCTTATCGGTTGGCAAACACACAGAATTTACGGCCAAATTCCTATTGGACAGGAACCTGATGGGTCTGTCCAGAGATATGAGTGCTATATCGCTCAGCCCTCGCTTAGACTCATACTGTGGATGGAGTACAGCATTACTGATCTTTAGCACCAGACTATTACCCGATGGGGTAGTGGTCTGAGAGCCGGCTATCACCCGGATATTCGTGAGGGCGTCGTTGATAACTCGCTCGCCATTGAAAGCCCTATAAAAATGATTTATATGTTATTTATGGCTATAATTATGGGACATAAGAAAGGGGACAACCATTCGAGACAGTGAGCGGCCGTCATAACCCATTTGGGATGTATGAGCGAACCGCCGCAGAAGTGTGTGGACCCAAAATAGGGTGACCATCGCTGTAGGGACACCTGCCAGGGATAGTCGCTTATAGACACGTCTACACCGCCGACAATCCTGGTGCTCAACATCCGAGTCATATTGACGGCTAAACCGCATCTCATCTGCGATTGAGTGACCAGATCTTGATTATAGATATCGGACGGAGTGGTGAATATGGGAAATGGGAATCCATTTATTCCCGGTGCGAGGGGACCGTTAGTTACGGGACGTACGATGTTTTGAGCGAAAGGCGTGTTTGGTGTATACCAACCAAATGTGGCCAATATTTGACTGAAAAACGTGTGAAAATTCATAACAAATTCCTTATATGGCTAACAAATACACGGCAATTGTGTGACAATTATGACTAATTACTGGTAATAATAATAGTAAATGATTTGAAAGTATTATTTTTATCAAAATCATGATTTCACTCAATGTCTAGAAATATATAAACATTTCATTGTTTTCTGGGATTTCATTGTGATTCACAATTTGTGAATTAAAATGTGATTTATCACTACTTTTTAATGTGTTTCGTATTTATTCTGTGTATATATTCATATCTCAAGAATATTAGGCATCACTATTATGCCTAACATTGAAATCACACAAAATCTACTAAATCTCTATTATTTTGCGCATTTCATTATTAACTGTATTATATGTAATTACATTGAATTTATGAAATATCAATGTATGGATCAAACATTGGTGACCTTTATTTATTTGTGAAAAAGGTCTTTCTCTGTTATTTTCAGCAGTTTTATTAGAAATGAAATTAAATGTAAAAATTAATTTCAAGACACACTCGCAATAATTGTCGCACACATTGGTATTGGATTTCATGATCTCATTAATGAGTGATTTATAAGTTTTTTCAAACAACATTGTGATCATGAAATATAAGTCAATAGCGAAATGATTTTTCATAAATTATTTGCCAATAGAAATATGCGTTTATTTAGAGGCTACTTGTGCCAGTACATTATGACAACTCTAGGATTTATAGACTATATTAAAAACTTGTTCAACAAATACCGGAAAAGTGATGCCTATTAATAATCTAAAAATTTAATCATAATTTAATGCACTTTGTTTTCAATGTTAGATCAATGATGAGATTAAATAGCAATTTACAATTAGCAGGTTTACAATTATTTATCAAAATAGTATACTCTATCTCATCAAAGTCATGGCAATTTGTTCACTATTTCACTGATTCAAAATATTGTAACTACATTTTATAATTAATATCAATAAACTATTGAAATACAAAAACCTTAATTATAATTAATATGTTAAATAGCGCAAAATTACTTGAGATAAATAAATTACAATAAAAATTTAACAATACAGTATGTTAATAGATTAATTGTGTAGTTTTTAATTTTCAACTCAAATAAGTTAGTCATACAGAGTTTTGGTACAACATTGAGTACAAAAAAAGTTTTGATTTACAGTTACTGTATTCAGAATAATTCAGTGAATGAAAGACTGCAACAAATTATGGCATAAAATAGTCGCGAGTTTTTTGTGGTCAGCGTTTGGTTTGTTGAGCGAGATTTGAGTGAATCATTCAAAACACAACTCAATTGATCCGTCGGTTGCGAACAAACCAGTGAACGGACAGTCGCCTGAAAACCCGTTGACCCGCGCGAGAGTGGACAGGCATATGTCGAGTCAGGTGCCACTGTTGGCCTCCAAGCGCCTCAAACGCGACTACAAGGACCTGATCCAAGAGCCGGTGCCCTTCGTGTCGGCCCACCCGTTGGACAGCAATATACTTGAGTGGCATTTCGTGCTGAGAGGGCCGCCGGACAGTCCCTTCACGGACGGCATATACCACGGGTGCGCGAAGTTCCCCAAAGAGTTCCCATACAAACCGCCGTCCCTTCGCATGTTCACCCCGTCCGGCCGTTTTGTGCCCAACGAGCGGATCTGTATGTCGATGAGCGAGTTTCACCCGGAAAGCTGGTCACCCCTGTGGACGGTGGGCTCCGTACTGAACGGGTTGTTGAGTTTCATGTTGTCGGCCGACCGCGCGATGGGCACCTGTGTGTCAAGCGATGCCGAGAAACGAGATTTCGCTCAAAAGTCGTGGAAATTTAATCTCAAAAACAAGATCTTCTGTAAACTCTTCCCAGAGTTGGCCGCAGAGGCGATGAGTAAGCCGTAAGACAGATAAGAGTCGCGCCGATAGATATATACGGGGAACGGTATGCGGGTCTCAAATGTTTGACTAATTATTATATGTGTTGCGAATAAAAGTGGTTTTTTGGCTCATAATTGATGTTTTGTTTTATGTGTTGATTGTAATTACAAATGAAAAATAAATTGCTTTTTAAAAAGTAAGAGTTGTATTGATGTAAGAATTTTATTGCATTTTTATATCAATAAAAAAAGTTTAATTAGTTTTTTCAATACAATAGTCAACACAAAACATGTACTGTATATAAAAAATGATAACAAATCGAGACATTCATTATGTTAATAACAAATCGCTTATGAAGTCATTTATGAGACAATTATTCAGAAAACAATAGAAAAAACTTATCAAAACATTTGTGTCAAGCACACACAAACAAAAAACAATTTAATGGCAATTATTTTTTCAAGTTATTGGGCGCCTCCTCGTCCTCTTTAGGGGGCTTTTCGTACGTAAGATCGTTGAGATAGTAGAAGCTGTCGGAGTCCTTGCAGTTCACGTTGTACTCCCAGTCGCAGACCCGGTACTCCTGGTTGAACGCCGTCTCATTGGGACATATCATAGACACCCGGCGCCCGAAAGTGTCGCAAATGTGGAACACCTGACAGTCAAACTCCGTGTCCGCGTAGTACCCGATCGCCCGGCCCTTGCAGTCGAAGTGGAACTCCGTGTCCGGCAAATCGGCCCATCGTTTCACCTGATATTTGGTGTTAAAAAAGTTTTTTTGAAACTTATTTTTGTCGTGATTTTTATAATGTGTTGATTAAGTGTTGGATTTTGTAATTGATTAAAAATGTTTACTCGCTAATTATATTACTTTTTATTATGTTTGATATTAATTTGTTTGCAAAAATAAAAGTGTTAACAATTTTTGCTGGTGATTATTTGGTGTACGGGGATATCATTACACTATTTATCTATTTATTACATGAAAATGTGATTTTAGTTTTGATTTTCTATTTATATAATAATTTTCAAATGGAAATCACTTTATATTAGAAGTAATTATTCATTTCTATTATGTCTGAAAAATGATTTACTAATGTTTTAACACTTTTACGGCTATAAAAAGGTATTAATACATTAAAAAATGTATTAAAAATTCATTAATAGGTAGGCGTTTGAGGAAAAGGATTCTGTGTTTTTGTTATTGTAATCAACAGTAATGTGTTAAATGGAAAAAGTTTTATAGCATATGTTTTCCCTACTTTTTAAATCAAAAATATAATTTTTAATTATTATTTTTCTCGTCATTATAAAGTCAATGCATTTTTATAATTTACAATATTTTTTGTGTTGAAGATT